GGGTAGAGAGGGAGAGAGTAACCAAAGAATTTATATGCATATATGCACAACCCAAGGACATGGACAATGGTGGGGAGAGGGACTGGGGAGGGGAAGCAATGGGGTGGAACGGGTCATTGGGAAGAAAAAGGGACATTTGTAATATTTTAAACAATAATAAAATTTAAAAAAAAAAAAAAAGAAGAAGCAAATAAAAGAATCTGATGAACTAAATAGATCCAGGGACACTGATGCATGCAACAGATGATCATACTTCAGAGAAAAGGGGGAAGAGGGGTGGAAGGTGGGAAGAGATTAACCAAAGAAGTTATATGCATATATCCATAACCCATAGACACAGTCAATAAAAAGGTGAAGGCCTGGAGAGGGGGTGGGATTGAAATAGAGGGGGTCAATTGGGGGGGTTGAGTAGGACTCCTGTAATTACCTTTTAACAATAAAGATAAATTTAAAAAATATAATCATGGGGTTGCACAACATAGGGAATACAGTCAATAATATAATTATGTATGGTGTCAGATGAGTACTAGACTTATTGGAGGATTACTCTGTAAGTTGTATAAATACTTAATCACTGGTTTGTATACCTGAAAGTAATATAATATTGTGTATCAACTGTAATTAAATATTAAAATTGAAGGGAAAAACACATTCATATACAGAAAAGAAAAAAAAAAGCAACAGGAGAGCCTAGGCTGAGATGTTTTGGCTCACTGAGAAGTCTGAGGGACAGAAGAGGGCCTTGGAGGGCCAGGACAAGGTGCTGCTGCCCATTGCTCCCCTGATTGCCAGTCTTCTAGGGTCTCCTCCGAGGGATGGAGATGGCATTGGTGTGCTCCCCTGGTGGGAATCGTGCACTGGTTCCTTTGTTCTGAGCATATTTATCTCTTTCTTGCAGACGGGAATATTAGAGGAGGTCTCAGGGGAGGGTCTCAATAGAGTATTCATCAGTTTTCCAGGTGTGTTCTTCCAGGGTGGTGGTTTCCATTGATTGGTTGGTGCCAGGGCAGGGGTTATTAGTCAATGTAGCTGGTCCTGAGGCAGCCATGGCACCACTTGTCTGGTTTTATGGCTTTTCTTGGCTTGGAGTTGAAATACTGCTGAGGCCTACAGGTTATTTTTAGGGAGGAAAGTTTCAGGCGGTCTAAACCACAAGACCAGCAATATGTGAAGGGAGGATAGGTTGCCCTGGGGACAAGATTGTTTTCCCAGTTTTGTCCCTTCATAGTATCTGGGGCTTCCTGCCCTGGTGACTGTACCTGGCCCATCCTCCTTGTTCTGCTCATGTCTGTCTAACACTAATGATGAATTAGAATTGTCTTGATAAACAGTAAAGAGAATTCTGCTTTGGAAAATTGTCCATTCTGATTCCATCATTGGAATAGTATAGAAATAACCAGGGGCAAGTGGCCAACTCAGAAGTCTGTCCAAATTAATCTTTCCTGGGGGGCTATGATCAGATTATTGTTTTTTCAAATATGGTATTTGTTTGAGAAATGGGCCCAGATATTTTACTTCTTCCTTTAGTATTTCCCATACTTTGATAATAGAGAAAATGAAATGGAATAGGTATTGTTAAGAATTAGAGTCAGGAGGCTATTAGGTGGATGGCTTTGCACATCTGCCTTTGTTGAGCCTCCTTTTGCAACAGCTTTGCAGTTTAAAAGCGGCTGTAAGGCTGAGGCATAAACATCCTGGAATAACTGCTGCATGGACACATGCGCTTTACCTCCTCCCTGTAGTTTTTTCCTCCCTCCTTTGATATTGGAACTAATCAATCCTGGTTGACCTACCTCGAATCCTTCATTTGTATGAAAGAGATGCACTTTGTGATTTTTGCTTTTAGAAATTTTGCCTTTCTTTGTTCTGTCCAGAGAGCAGTTGAGTTGGTACCCTAGTCTTTTTGTCCCAGGTTGCAACTCTTTTTTAACGATAACAATGGAAGAAATGTTCTGTTTTGATTTTAACTGTAGCCTTGACATTTTCTTTGGTTAAAACTTTATTTGGTAGTAATCATTTTGTATGCTGTTCTGTAAGTCTGGTCTTAGAGAAAGTGACCAGGTTTTTTATTTGTGGTGTGCATGTGATGATGACTGTTTTGGCAAAGTTTGTTTTAGTTAATTGTACAGAAATTTAAAATACTGCATCGAAGAAACAATGTTGTTTACGTTAGTAATCTTTTTTAATGGTGTTCCTCAGTAATTCTGGGGAGTTGTATTTGGTAGTAACTCTGACAGGATTTGGTGTTTTTGTTTTTATGCAGATATCCAAAGTCAACTCTGTGAAAATTCAATAACAAATGTGTGCATGGCAGGTACACTGTAAGTGAAACCGTACACCTGAATATAATTTAAATAATATCATGGTATCAGGAATGTAAAATAGCTGTTTAACAGCTTCTTTTCCTATAAAGCCAGGTGGGAACCGGAATTTCGTAAGTCTGTAAAAGCTCTTTCAAGGATTTTAGCTCAGTCACCTCGTCTTTTCTAGTGTGGATTGATTAAAGGAGGAGCGCTGGCTTGCAGTTTATGCAAATACATGTGGTTGCTGCTGTTTTTGCCGTTTTTTTCAATAAAACCATTGTTCACTCAGGCTGACGCCTTTTAAGGTCTTCCCCTTTAACGCGCAGGCGTAACATGCGCAGTAGACCCTTTTTAAAAAGATCCGGTGATTCTATTTATATTGTATGCTTCCGTTCGGTTTTTGAAAGATTTAAAATCATTTTAGCGGGCAGTTTGTGGTGCTTTTTTTACGTTGGTGAAGTGCCTTCTCGTCTTCAGATTTTATTCGGCATGCTGACAGTCTCTCATATTTGGATGTAACTGAGGTATTAAGAATCAATCCGCGGGAGTGACACGGTACGTGAAGAAGCCGGAAAAGCGCGAGGGTCAAGATGGTGGTATTAAAACTGAGATCTGCGGCATTCATACGCAGCTATGAGCGTTAGAATAACTGTAATTTGGTGGAAAATTGGGTCGCCAAGGGACTCCATTTTTAGCTAGGAGGGATTCATGCGCCAAGGAAGGAATATCAAGACGAAACACTTATTAGCGTCCGGACCAGACATGGATTCCGGGACTGAAGAATTCCTACCCCCGCCCGAGTGCCCGGTGTTCGAGCCCACATGGGCGGAATTTCAAGACCCACTTGGATACATCGCTAAAATCAGGCCCATCGCCGAGAAGTCCGGCATTTGCAAGATCCGCCCTCCCAAGGTAAGTGCCTGAAAATTTGGAGTGGAGGTGGCGTTTACATTGGGCGTATGGAACTGCCCTTTTCTTTAACTAGGCCTTATATTGAGAACCACGTAGTCTTAGTAGTTAGTTCAATACTCCCCGTAGCCGCCAATTTCTCATTTATTAAATGTTTCGTTAGAACACCCCCCGTGGAAAACCTCATATGTGGTCGCCAGACTCCTTGGGCTTACTAATATAACTAATTTAGGGAAGAAAAGAGCCGATTCTAAAGTGGTTCTGCACTGTGCTATTGAGACACCATGCATATATATATAAATATATATATATATGTATATTTTTTTCCTGTGTTTTCCTTGAACAAAACTTAAATGTATTAAGAAGTACTGTATAGGTAACCGAAGCAGCGAAAAATTATGGGAATTTCTCTTATCAGAATACTTGGGATGATTTCATTTTTCCATATAATTTCGGATGTCTTTGACAGACACAGATGAGTGTAAAAAGCAATAGAGCATCCTTGTCACCATTTAAATTGGTATTATTTTATTTAAAGATTTCTCGATTACATATACTCAGAACTTCTAATTGAAATAGGTATTTGACTATTCATATTGAAATGACCCTAGACCACCACTTTAAACAACTAATATATCCAGAGTATGTGTCACTTTCTTCATAGCATATGGCTCATTTGTCAAATGATTTGCTTAACTACAACAGTGCCTTCTATCTGGGTGATTATATTTTTCTCAGTATTACTGTAGTTAGAAATATACTTTTTTTTCTTTCTTAATTTTATTTTTGTTTAAAGTATTACAGATGTCCCTTTTTCTCCCCAGTGACCCATTCCACCCTGTCCCACCCCCCTCCCCAGTCCCTCTCCCCACCATTGTCCATGTCCTTTATATGCATATAAATTCTTTGGTTACTCTCTCCCCCTCCACCCACCTGCCCCCCTCCATCCCTCTGACATTCATCAGTCTCATCTATGCTTCCATGTCATTGAATCTATTCTGTTCATCAGTTTATTTAATCACATTTTTCAGACTTCTAAGACTCAAAAGAGGTAATAACCAACTTTTAAAAATCTAGCAATTTTTTATCCACATTTAGTTTACCTTCATCATAACAGAAATGGGCCAGACCTTGTTAATGTCTGCTTTATTCATTTTTAACAGTTTTTAGGTCTAAGTTTGTTGGTTTTTGTTTCTTTTCTGTAGGACGCATACCAAAAAGAGTTTTGGATTATTAGTTGGCTCCCATGCCCTCAATTTATCTAATGTTAAAGAGCCAACAATTTCACACTTTGGAGCAATAAAAGCAACTAGAAGTTTTAAAACAGAAGCAGATAATTCCAGTTCTAATCATCTAATCATCTTCGTCCTTTACTATCTCATAATAACCAATTTGGGTTTGTTTTTTTCTCTGTTTTTACTTCTAGGACTGGCAGCCTCCCTTTGCAGTAGAAGTAGATAACTTCAGATTTACTCCTCGAATCCAGAGGCTAAATGAACTAGAGGTAAACTGGAAAGTCACCTTTCTTTAGGGGAATCTGAGCTCTAATATTATTTTACTTGTAGTTTTAGAACAGTAGTTAAGAACTTAGGTTTTGAAATAAAATATATTTTGATTGTAACCTCAGCTCTATTTCCTAGAATATTTATTAGTCTTAGAGAAAGTCTTCTGCAAAATGCCAAGATATGAAAGCTTTAAGTTTATAGAATGGGCTAACTAGAGAAGATCAGTACACCCTTTCCCATTGTTTTTAGCTCCATGCCCATATTTTATTATTTTGGATTTTCCCTGATTTCTTTAAGAAAAGCAAAGGTCAAGGTACAAATATGGTCTTCTAAATTTCCAGCTAAGGCTGGTGGTTATGTTTGTTCTTGGATAAAGTGGACAGTATTTAGGAATGTGTCAGCAAGTAGGAAAGGCAAAGCTTGTTTTGTTTGTGTTTTTTAATTGATTTTTAAAGAGAGGAATGGAGACTGAGAAATAAAGTGAAAAATCGATGTGAGAGCAGAACATTGATCTGCTGCCTCCAGCGCCCCCCCCCGCCCTGCAACCAAGGGTCAAACCTGCAAAATAGGCATGTGCCCTCAGCCAGAGTGGAATTAGATATCTTTCAGTGCATGGGACAATGCTCAACCTACTGAGAGGCACACCAGCCAGGGCTCAGCTTATTGTTAAATACAAAAAGCATGTGGTTTGGCATTTTCTTTTGCTGTTACAAGTTTTTACTATGGTCAGTGTTAGAAGGTCCAAAATGACTTATGGTAAGAGAAGGGTCATTCACAAAGTAGTTTCGTGTCCAAGTTTTTAACATAGGATGGAAAAATATTTTAGTCTCTTTAGCTATATATCTTTGACTCTAGGTGGGGATAGCTTCTTAAGGAAGATAGTGGATTGAGCCCTAAATGTTCTTGGTCAGCCCTCATTGATCCCAATAATAATGCTTCTATCTTCAGGTTAAAGGATTTTGACTCAAGCATCACTTCCTGTCCTGTCAGATTAAAAAATCAGCTTACTTGACTTTTGTAGGCAGTAATGGTGATTTAGGTAATGAAGTCTAGAGTTTAACCAAGGGAACTGTAAATAGTACAGAATGATACTGGTTTATCTACTTTACACTGGACCAAACTGAGATTAAAGAATAACTGCCATTTTCCCAGGCTCAGACCAGAGTGAAACTGAACTATTTGGACCAAATTGCAAAATTCTGGGAATTCCAGGGTTCTTCATTAAAAATTCCCAATGTGGAGCGGAAGATGTTGGACCTCTACAGCCTTAGTAAGGTAAGAGTAGTTTCCTTTTCAAAAGGAAAAACAAGCAAAAAGTCTTATTTGGGAAATGCTCTGTAGTTGAACATTGTGTCTCTGGGAAGAAAAGGAGAGAACAGAGCTTGCCAACATTTCTTGATAGAGTCTTTGAGCCTTTGGAATACTTAGCATTGGGGAAGTACAGAGTGTTCATATTTTAAGCCTCATTGGTATTTTTAGGTCTCTCCAGTCTGCTCCACAGTTAACTATACTCTTCCTTATCCTTTTAGATTGTGATGGAGGAAGGGGGCTATGAAGCTGTTTGCAAGGACCGTCGATGGGCTCAAGTTGCCCAGCGCCTCAGTTACCCACCAGGGAAAAACATTGGATCCCTCCTAAGATCTCACTATGAACGCATCATTTATCCCTATGAAACGTTTCAGTGTGGAACCAACCTTGTGGTGCGGACCCTTAGCTGATTTGCAGACTGATGTTATTTTGTTGCTTTTGCTCTCTTACCTTTTCAGGGTTGGACCGATAGAATTGGAAGTTCCAGGAAGCCCTGGAAAATATTTTGTAGCCTTTATGAAGAAGTTTTGTACTTGCTAGGCCAGCTAGATGAGAACTGTAGTATCCCTTCTCTTTGTGTTAGAGGATTGGTGTCTCCTAAGATCGCTTGATAGATAAGATCTTTCGGTGGAAATTAGAGAAAAGCGGTTCCTGTTTTAGGCCATCATCCATGAAAAAGACAATTAGATAATTATCTTGCAAAGTTACTATACTTAGGATAGTTCAGATAATGAAATTCTATGCATAAAAACCTTGGTGTTACTTGGCTTTAACTTAAGGAGGATTGGGAACTGATTTAGCTGGTATTTTAAATAATGGTTTTTAAGTTTTATTATCTGCAAAGGACTTCTTAAAACTACATGTGTATAAACTCATATTTTAGTTAATCTACATAATCCTATTATAGTTGATATTTTTATTACCATTTTTTCAGATGAGACGTCCATTGTATTTATAAGGCAAAGACATATGTAAGACATATTCCTCTACATGTAGTGGAATTATAAATGTCCTGTCATTCCAGAGAACAAGAGGGGAATGGATTAGTGTAAGTTAGAAAGAAGTACAGCTTTCTTTGCTAGAGATTTTAGAATGAAGGAATCACTTTGTTATTTGCTGATCATTAATATAATTTAATTTCTGATCCTACATTTTTCCCCCCATTTCCAGCAGTGTAACACTCACCAAGTTGACAGTGAGGAAAAAGACAAGGAATACAAACCCCACAGCATTCCGCTTAGGCAGTCTGTGAAGCCTTCCAAGTTCAGCAGCTATAGTCGCCGTGGGAAAAGACTACAGCCTGATGTAAGTGCTGCTTTTTTTCACACATAAACTGCCAAAGTTTATCCGGGACTTGGTTTAGGGGATGGTCCATTTCTATAATGTACTGTTGTTTTTTTGTTTTGTTTTTTTAATCCTCACCCAAGGGTATGTTTTTACTGATTTTTAGAGAAGGGGAGAGAGAGACAGAGAAAGAAACATTGATGTGACAGAGAAAACATCAATCGGTTGCCCCTGGTATGCATCCCAACCAGGAATCGACCCTGCTACCTTTGTTGGTGTAATGGAGGATCCTCCAGTTAACTGAGCCACCTGCCCAATGCTAAGTCACTGTGTGTTTTTTTAACTTTAGATTCCTCAAGATTGTATTAATTGAAAATGAATGAGTTATTTTTTCTCACGAGTGTGATTTGTAGTATTTTTATTTTTGTACTCTAGCCTTTATAGATTTTAAAAGCAATCATCTTTATAAAATACCCTTTTAGGGTTTAATTTTTGTGAATCTTGTGATGGTTTTCACAAAGCACACTGTACAGTTGTTTCTTAATTGTTGGTTTTTGTCCTGTTCTCATTTGATATGTCAGTCAGGTGTCGTCACAAGAATTGACACAAGAGAGGCTTAGGAAACAAAATTTATTATACTCAAGAGACATGGCTTGCCACAAAGGCCACAGCAAAAAGCATGAGAATGGGTTAGGAGGCAAGAAGGGTCAGGAATGAGGGGAGAGCTTCTACCATGGCTTTTATTGGGGTTCCTGAGGGAAGGTCAAGGCAGGGCAGACTAACAGTTTAGGGTTGGATAGTTGGCTAGTCTGAACAGTTTACCTAGGCTGTAACCTTTGGGGAGTGTGCCCTAGTTGTGTGCACCTGACCTTGTGATGATTAGAGCAGAGGAATGTTGTTTCCTGTGAGGGCAGAAGCCCTACAGAGGAGGTTAGGCTCTGGACTGATTTGTTTGCATATCAGTGGCATACTCTGCTGGGTCATTTGCTATCTCGAAGAATTGCTGTCCCCAGGGGGGCAGTCTGTTTTCAGCTAGAAAGGATTTTTAAGATGTAAAACATCAAATAGAGAAAATAAAAAATGTAAACAATACAATTATAAAACTTATCTTGCTAAATAAGCCTATTTTGTATGTTCACATACATTTTCATAAAATTTTGGATGTTTTGTTAAACACCTTTGGGACTGAAAGCTTTCCTTTTTTTTTTAAATCATAACTCTAGGAAATTTTTCCATTGATTTTTATTTATTTATTTATTTATTTTTTTAGAGAGGCAGGGAGGGGAAAAGACAGAGAGAAACATTAATGTGAGAGAGAGACATCGATTGGTTGCCTCTGGCGTGCACCCTGACTTGGCCTGGGAATCAAGCCTGCAAGTAAGGTATATGTACTTAACTGGGAATCGAACGCAAGACCCTTCAGTTTGTGAGCAGAACTGGCCAGGGCTGAAAGCTTTTCTGACAAAGATTTATTGAGCCGTGTGCTGGCCAGAACAAGGACCTGGTCTTGGATACTACAGTCTACCTACCAGCGTTAGGGCTACACAGAGAAGACAAATGTGTCTGGATTCTGGGCTTGACAGGGCTCTCTCAGACAATTAATTTGAGCAAGAAGTTGATTAGGAAGAATTTGAAAGGGAGAAAGTTTCTGGATAGGTGAATATAGTCCATAAAAGGAAGTGTTTGCTGTTTCTAGATTGCTTGTGGGCAATAGTATGAACAGTTCATGTGTGAGAAATCAGAAATCAATGGTGGCTGTTCTCTTTACATAAGAGCTGAAAGAGTGCCCAGAAGTGGATTTGAAGCTTCTATATATGTTCAGAAAACTGAGCAGTCTTTCATTAGTTTCAGTCCAAGGCTCTTAGCAGTCTCAAGTCTCGGATTTCTTTCTTTTTTTTTGCATCCCAGCAGTAAGTTATACAAGAAATATAGTACTGTTTAAGAACTTAGAAATAATTGAAGACATTATAAGACTCAGTTGATCATCTGTAGAAATTGTTAACTAGAATCAATACCCGTTCTTTATATTTTTTAAAACCTGAGACAAGAAACAGTTAACGTTATACTTAGCTTTCTTCCTAAATTCAGGAACAAGGCAAGTTTCTGCTCTTGTCACTTTCATTTTACATAACACTGGAAGTTCTTTTTGCAGGGCATTTGGTCCTTTCTATAGCATCCACAGAGACATTTGGTCCACACCAAAGGTCCTTGATATTTGGTATTTCCAGGATGTCAACCAAGACGTTTGTTCTGAAACATCATGGAGATATTTGGTTGGAACACTTAATATAAATTCTATTCTTCTGCAAGTTTTGAACCCCAGAAGACCTTTTTAACCCCATGTGCCATTACTAGGCAGGCTACCAAGGCTATATAAATTAGGATTAGATTGTGTATCTTTTGGTATTTTGTGAGTAATTTTAAAATCAATGGAAAAAATATTCTCCAGTGAGGATAAAAAATAAATAATGTGCTTTGCTAGAAACCTGTGTATTAAGATAATAGGTAATATGTGTATGGTAAAATTAACAACATATAATGTAAAATTACAGAACTGTTCAGAAACCTCACTTATAAATTGAACATATGATATAACTACATAATTACTTTTTGGCAAAGAGTCAGAATGTGTCAAGGATGGGCATCTTTGTGCACATTGTTGGTAGTACTAAAAACAAAATTTTAAATGATTAAAATCTTAAATGTGCATACTGTCTTTTTTTAATTTTTATTCATCTTTTAGAACAGTACAATAAACTACATGGATATTAATGATTTCTGCCCAGGTCTTAAATGTGTAAATAATGACTAAATGATGACATGGATAACTCAGTGCCATTGAAATAAAGTTTTGTGTGGGTGTGTGGGGGGGGCTTACTATTCATCCATGGATATGTTTGCTGATTTTAGAGAGAGAGAAACATTGCTGTGAGAGAGAAACATCAATCAGTTGCCACCCATAGCTGGGGATGGAATTCGCAACCTAGTTATATGCCCTGACTGGGAATCCTATCCAGCAACCTTTTGGTGTATGGGATGATGATCCAACCACCTGAGACACCTGGCCAGTAGAGAGAAAAGCTTTATTAGTACTTACAGGTCACCTAGAAACAGGAGATAGATCAGACAACAAGACCACAGAAGGGATCAGTGTCAATGAGGCAGATAGGAACAAGGGGGAGGTATAGCCTTTATTGGAGTTTCCTCAGGAAAGGCAAGGCAGAGTAGGATAAACGTTTTAGGACTGAAGAGTTTGAACAAATCCAGTAGGCTTTGGGACATAGGGACTTCCCTAGTTTGGTTTCTCACCATGAATTGAGTTAGAGTAGGAGAAATATTATCTTGGTGTGTGTGAATTTAATGAGGTGGTTCGTGGTCTGACTTGTGATCTTTTGGCTTATATATGAATGGCATAGTCACCTAGATTGTTTACTGCCTCTAGGAATTATCTGTTCCGAGGAGTAGTGCCCTGGAGCAGCCAGCAGGCATTCTGCCCCTCCCCCTGGATGTTAAAACACCATAAAATATAGAAAATAAAAAATATATAATTAATTACATTCTTGTTTATAGTACCAAAAATTAGACGCTGTCAGTTTTAGTCCAATAAAGGAGTAGGTTAAAATGTTTCTGGAATAGCATTATATGCTATTAATATAATAAACTGTAAAACAGATATATATACATCTATGTGTGTGCATATATATATGTATATATATGTATATATATAAGAATAAAATTTCTCATATATATACCTATATATGAGAAATTTTATATATGAGAAATTTTATTCTTTTTGTTGTTAATCCTCACTGAGGACTTTTTTCCCATTGTTTTCCTGAGAGAGTGGAAGGGAGGAAGAGAGAGAGAAAAACATCAATGTGAGAGAGAGACATCAGTTGGTTGCCTCCTGGATGCACCCAGGCCAGGGGTGGGGAACAAATCCACAACACAACTATATGGCCTTCACTGGGAATCAAACCCACTACTGTGACCCTTTGTTGCTTGGGCCAGTGCTCTAACCACTGAGCCACACCAGCCAGGGCAGAAATTTTATTCTTGAATAGACTTTTATTTTGAGCCCAGATGTCTATGTTTCTTTGAATCACCTCCTTCTGATCATTGGGAGATTATGTTTACTACCATCATCATGTCCTCTGGTTGACCCATTGTTTCTCATGGATGTTGTAAAGCAAAAGCACAAAATGTGTTACTGTGTGTTTGTGTATGTGTGTATATACAAGCTATTTACTATAAAATCTCAGGCTTTAAATGGAAAGGAGAAATTTAATAGTGCTTTAATTTAAAAGTAGAACAGAAACTGAAGCATAAATAAAAATGTATTTCTTGGTGTTTCAGTGAGAGATAATATGGTGAAAATGGTATAATATATGTGTTTTTTGACATATAATCAATATTCAATTTCCCAGGTCTCTTAGATTAAATTTTTGGGGAAAGGGAGTTACTTCTAATGATCTGAGTTCCAAACAATAGGAATCCTGTCTTCCATTTGCATGTTCAATTCAGTTGCAGCAGTGGACTTGTTTATAATGTATTTATTGAATTCTCTAGCATAAGTTATGTATTTCATGATATTTCATGATATTTCAGCCTAAGTAGCCTTGCAAACATATAAGTATTTATTATTTCGTGACCTTTATAACATGAAAAAACTTGAGAATAGGAATTGCCTCCCAAATTTATCTGTTCATTTGTTCCTGCCTAACCATACTTTACCCCCAGGTGAAATTACACCGTAAACCTTTAAAAATGGATGGAGTTCTGGCCAGTTTGGTTCAGTGGTTAGAGCATCGGCCCGCAGACCCAAGGGTTGTGGGTTCAATTACTGGTCATGGACATGGACCTCAGTTGCAGGCTCCATCCCTGGCCCCAGTTGTGGCTCATGTGGGAAGCAACCAATTGATGTTTGTCTCTCTCTTCTTTCATTCTCTTTCCCTGCCATTCTCCCTCTTTCCTTTCCAGTCTTTCTAAAAATCAGTGGAAAAAAATATATCCTCCAGCGAGGATTAAAAAAATAAATAAAAATGGGTGGAAACATTTGATGATCTTTAAAAATTCTCATCTGAGGACTTGTTTATTGATTTAGAGAGAGGAAGCGGGGAGAGCAGTGATGTGAGAGAGAAACATTGATCGGTTGCTTTTGATACATGCCCCCATTGGGTTTGGAACCTGCAGCCTGGGTATGTGCCCTGACCAGGAATTCAAATTGCAACCTTTCGATGTAGGGATGACACTCTAACCAACTGAGCCACATTGGCCACGGCAACATTTGACTGACTTTAATGTGACCTCTTTTGCTTTTACTATGTCTATATATGTAAAACTCACCTTTTTTTTCGCATTTTCTTTCAATAGCCTGTGCCCACAGAGGTGGATATTGAGAGGAATCCAGAGTTAAAGAAGCTACAGATCTATGGGGCAGGTCCCAAAATGATGGGCTTGGGCCTTGTGGCCAAGGATAAGACTTTAAGGAAGAAAGGTATGAAACCTAATAGGCTGAGAGACAGTATAAGGGGTAAAGTATTCAAGTATTGTGGGAGATGGTTTGTTAATCCTGATGGAGAATAGATTTCTTTATTTGGGGTTTCTTTCTAACTCTTAGATAAAGAAGAGCTCGTATACCCCAACACTGTTACAATGGAGGAACCAAGTGGAAATAGGAAAGTGATGTCAGCATTGCCCGAAGAGGACTTGAGTCAAAGCTTAGAGCGCTGCACCAACATGACAAAGCGGCTACGAAAGAATCACAGCAGTCTCCAGTTTGTAAGGACTCACCTGTGATTTTCCAGCATTGTTTTTGAATTATCAGGACTAGATAGAACCTCAAATTATTTCATTCATCTTTCTTTTTCTTTCCTTCTGAGCCTTTGTTATGGAGAGACTGATGGCCAGGAAGGGGAAGAAACATATTCAAGGTATTATAGTTAGGAGCAAAATTCATATCACTTGTTTTTTAGAACTTTTCTCCAAACCTGTATTTTCTATAGTGGTGCCTCTCTTCTATAATTGCTTTACTTGTGTCTTTATGTATACAATATTTTCCTTCTTTTTTTACCCCTTACCTGAAAGATTTTTGCAATCTCTTAAATATTCCAGAGTTTCTACATTTTTATAAAATGATAAGTCACCTTTCTTGATTGCCCTCATTCCTTTCTGGCTTCATTTTGTTTTTATAATTTTTGTTTGCCCCTTTCTACTCTGTAAATGTTGATGTTACTGGAAATTTTATACTTGAACAGCTTATTTTGAGTTCTACACTCCTGTGTTTCTTTCAGTCATGCCTACCTGATCACTGATACATTGTCTTTATTACTACTGTATGTCCCCAGTTGATCCTGTGCTGCTTATGCTCTGGACTGTCACAGATCTTGTCATTGGGAATCTGTGATTTTTCTCCAACTCCTATAACTAGATGATGCTTAGTTTTACTTCCTTTTTATTTTTATTGCAGTATAGGATACATACACAAAAATAAAGACTAGTTTTGCTTGTTTTTCTACTATTCAATAAGTAGTATCTCAGTACATTCTGTTGGCTTTTTGTTTAAAGTTATATTTGAGAGTCACTCATTTTATAACTTATCATTGTATTGTGTTTCATTAAAGTATAGTTTTATTAAATACAATTTGTCAATTTTTTAATCTGTTTTACTTTTCATGGATTTTTTTCTTTTAAATTCTCACCCAAGGATATTTTTTCCATTACTTTTCAGAGAGAGTGGAAGGGTGGGGAGGGGGTACAGAGGGAGAGAAACATGGATGTGAGGGAGACACATTGATTGGTTGCCTCTCACATGTGCCCTGACTTGGGGCATGGGATATGTGCCCTTGGTCAGAATCAAACTTGGGACCCTTCAGTCCACAGGCTGATTGCCTAACCACTGAGCAAAACTGGCTAGGGCTCTTCATGGATTACTTTTTTGGTAGTTTCCAGTTTGGGGCTACTATGAATTATGTTACTAGTACAGTATTATGATTTTAGGTAAGCTATGTAGGCATTTCTGTCATGTATATATATATAGGATTGGAATTGGATGTGACTTAGATATGTAAGTATATTCAAACATACATACATGCATGTATGCAAATGCTTACAGTCTATACCAGTTGTTAACCATATGTAATTGTCTGAGTGATTTATGCTAGTTTATACCACTATAATTCAGGTTTATACCATTCACCTTTCTATAAAGAGTATACTTTGTTACTCCCAAAGCATCATTTTTTAACATTATATTATTTAGTAATTTTTTATGTCTTTTCATATTTTCCATCAGATAGAGAACTCATGGGTGAAGTCAAGAATAGAACATTGCAAAGTTATTTTTATTTTCCTGGTAGGTCGATGCGCATGTTTGCGGAATGTGTTCCCGAGGAGATGAAGATGATAAACTTCTTTTCTGTGATGCCTGTGATGACAGTTTTCATATCTTCTGCCTATTGCCATCTCTTCCTGAAATCCCTAGAGGGATCTGGAGGTGCCCAAAATGTGTTATGGCGGTAAGGCCTACTCAACATAGATGTTTTAAATTTAATTCTTTGTAATTTTTGAATCCAACCTCCTATACCTTGTTAGGTATTAATTAGCTGTCAGTGACATGATAAGCAAGAATGATTCAACAGACAAGCTGTATGATGGTAGAGACTTAATTAAGAAAGAGAGAAAGGACTATAATCCATACACAATTAAGAATCCACATTACATGAACCATGAGGGGAAAAAAGGAAATCTGTTTAATGGATACTAAGGAAACTTATCCTACCTAGAAACCAGAAAAAGCGGAGGTATAGCATGAGATATCAGCAGTTCTCTTTGGGTTCCTTGCCTGTTGCTTCTCTGTTGCTGAAATAGTTTCTATTTTAGGAATGTAAGAAGCCCCCTGAAGCCTTTGGCTTTGAGCAGGCTACCCAGGAGTACACTTTGCAGAGCTTTGGTGAAATGGCTGATTCCTTCAAGGCCAGCTACTTCAACATGCCTGTACACGTATGTGATTATGGAATGGGGACATAGAGGTTGATGTCTGGTAGCTGTCATAGAGACTGAGACTGAATTATAGTGAGTTATGATTATTTTCTACATCTGTTATCACAGATGGTACCCACAGAACTTGTGGAAAAGGAATTCTGGAGGTTGCTGAGCAGCGTTGAGGAGGATGTGACGGTTGAGTATGGAGCAGACATTCATTCCAAAGAATTTGGAAGTGGTTTTCCTGTCAGCAGTAGCAAAGGGAACCTGTCCCCTGAGGAAGAGGTAATAGGATTGGTAATTCATATTCAAGACTAGGCAAAGTTATTTTCACATTTTGAAAGCCTGTGTCCTCATTAGTCCATCCTCATAGCACTATTTTCACATATTAGATATAAAGATAAAATTTAACGCCATTGGATGTTCTGTCATTGGCTCAGAGTTTTGGATAGCCACAGTTACCACTACTTTTCCCTGATGGCAATAGAAATGAACATTATGATGCCTTGGAATTTTCAGTTAGGGGCCACATTAGTCCATCAGTTTTCCTTAAAAGTAAATATTGGAAGATTACCACTTTTTGGTTATCTCTGTAATAGAGAAAAACAAGTGCTGTGACCACCTTATTTATATTTGTAGTTGTAAAGCACTAGCAAGTCATCAAGAAATACCTTCATTGAGTGTACCAATTAGCATACAATTTGTAGAACAGATGGAGTAATAGAGAAACCACTAATTTCATACTTTAATAAAAGGTGATCTCTTATATAGCCTGAGACCCATTTGGATGACCTAAGTTGTAACTAATCACATTACAAATTTATGCCTAGGTAGAGAACCAAAAAATTTGATAGATGGAACAGCCTTATTTGGGGACAAGAAATAAATAAAAATAACCCATTTCATGTATTGTTGAAGAATTATTATTTTTACAATTATTGTTTTACTGTTTTGGCCAGAGCCATGAGAATTAGTGTTTCACTTTGATTGACCTATATGTAAGGCTTTCTGGAGACAGTGGGTCCAGATATTAAAAGTAGTGACTTAAGAAGGTAGAAATTCACTTTTTGTGTATGTATACTGTCTTACTGTATATATGTGTATAAAAGCACTTATAAAGTCTGGTTACAAAGAATAGATTGCTTGGGTTTTTTGTTTGTTTGTTAATTCTCACCCAAGGATATTTTTTCCATTGATTTTTAGAGAGAGTGAAAGGGAAGGAGGAGAGAGAGAGAGGGAAGGAGAGAGCAAGATTGATGTGAGAGAGAAACATCAATTGGTTTCCTCCCACACGTGCCCCAATTGGGCTGGGATAGAACCTGCAACCCAGGTACACACCCTTGCCAGAGAATCAAACCTGAGACACTCCTGGGTGCAGGCTGTCACTCTCCTAGTTTTGTTTTTTGGTAGAAATATATATCATTAGTGGGAAATTGAAAATATAAATGAAGATAAAGGAAAGAAAACCACTCATACCCTTCCTTATTAACACTTTGGTGTACTTTTAATTGCTTTTTGGAAATTGGAAGAAATTAATCATGATATTTTGAAACTACAAAAGAATTACATATAGTCCTTTTCTCAGGGAATCATGTACATCATTTAATTTTTTGAACTTTGTAGTTGGCTCTGTATGTCTCTGACTTGCTTTTTTCAGTCAGTGGTATACTTTGAAAAATCTGTTTTTTTGCTTACAGCTTTAATTTATCTGGTTTTTCACTATTGTGTAATCCTTCATTGTATAAAGCTGTATAATACCCCATTATTTAACTCAACCTTTACATTTATTTGGTATTCTTTTCCCCTCGCAAGCAATATTAGACTATTACTCTACTGTTCCCCTTCTATTTTTCTGTTGCATTGCTCCCAATATTTGACTGAAGGAAGAAATTCTGGGCTATATATTTGGATTGTGATTCTACCAAGTCATACTCAGACCATTGAGGGAACTAGTCATTCATGTCTTCACTCACTAACGACTTTCACATTTAGGTTATTACAAGTATAGACTTTTAAAGGCATACACTTTATGTTGTCAGCAGATTGTTAGAAGCCTGCAGGCACTTACATAATACATAAATACTTTCATGTGTTTGTCTATGTAGATATATGAGTATATGTAGTATTTTTGTGTATAATATTCCCATCCATGATGAGGTTGTAGTTTAATCAGTTTTATAACTTTTATAAAACAAATACAGTGGTCTCTTTTCTGCCACTAGCTCTTGAGTCCTAGATCATGTTTCTAATTGATGTGTATTTTTGGCTTTTGCGGTATTTCTTATAAAAAACAAATAACTTATTTTTAAAAAATTCAAGTAAAAAGTTTTTATCTTTTAATTGGAGTCAGTCAGTTTTCAACTCATTGTGCTTACTGCTGGTTTACAGCCATTTTTTTCTATCTTACGACTTAATTTTCCAACTTTTTGGGTTTTCTGCCAATTTTTTTCATTCTATTTTTAATCACCTTTAGTTTGGTAATTATGTATATATGAGTATATAAATGTGTATATGTAAAATATATATGTATTATTTTCATTATTTTGTTTTAAATGTAACTCAACCTTTATACTTATTTGGCATTTTTTTCCTCCTTGTAAGCAGTATTAGACTATTATTCTCCTATTCCCCTCTCTTCTAATATGGAGAAATTTTGTATGCTTTTAATATTTTCCTGCTCAATAAAATGGGTATTATTTTTATCAATTTATTATTTTTAGGTTTCATGTAGATTTTAGTTACATGTATACCTTTTGTTTGTTTACCCTTTTTGAAACCCAGATCTTTTTCTGTGTACTATTTTTTTAAGTAAATTCTTTTAAAATTTTGCAAATTTTGAGGTACTAAATTTTTTTTACTTGACAAAAATTGTGTTTCTTTGCCTTTATTCTTTAAAAGGTATTTTCTGGCTATATACAAATCTGGTTTTGGAGTTACTTTCAGGACATTAAAAATACTCAGTATATGCTGACTTTTGAGAAGTTAATTAAACATTACAGTAATTTATATGTAATTTAATATGTGTGTGTTTTTGATTGCTATAAGATCTCTTCTCACTAACTGCAGTTTTTAAAAATATAGTACTTCTGAAATCTGCTGAGATTCAACTTTCATCAATTCTAGAAAATTCTTGGACAATTGACCCTTCTAAAATAACCACTTTTTATATTAAATTCTATCTGTCATAACACCCTGTAATCTGACATTCTTATTCTAACTTCATCTTCGTGATTCTTAATGTTTCATATTTTCCCTATTTCTCTTACTACTGTGTTTTCAGTAATTTATTAAAAAGAATTTTAAAATTCACCAGTTTTCTCAATAGCTAATTACTATTAAACAGCCCTTAGTCTTTCAGATTTCTAATATTAAAAATTTTTTTTCAGAACTTTTGATCATTTTTTAGATTTTTCTGGTCAATATTAACGAAAATTTTCTTTTTCCTGATACTTTTGCAGTTATTTTGTTTTTTGTTTTAAATTATACTGATAATTATACTGTCTCTGCTATTATTAGTTGAGCTTTGATGTTTGCTCAACAAATTTTCACTCATTTCATTCCCACCCCACATATTTAGTGACTTTTGTTTGTTAATTATGAACTCATGTTTCTTTCAACCACATATGTGGGACATTTTCCTGCAGCTTAAATTAAAATACGTCCTGTTTAGAAATAATATACTGTTTCTGCTAAAAGCCTTAGGATACTACAATTTTTTGCTTGGCATGTTCTCGTAAGTGTGAATTCTGGTCCAGATTACTGTGAATGATAGGTTGTGAATCAGGACTCTCAGGAACATTTGTTCTGTTTGGTTCTCTTACAGAGGCAGGGAAATACAGTCAGTCATTTTAACTTGAGATTTTTTTTTCCCCACCCTCTTCAGTTTTACTACCAAACAGGTAATATTGATGGGAAATGTCATAACTTTAGGTTGAAGTCTGTAAAACCTGAAGTTGTATCTTCTGTCTTAAGTTTTGGCCAGCAAAAGTATAAATGACCCAAATCAAACATTAGTTTTAGAACTTTTATTTGTAAAATGCTTTCATTTTCTTAGGTTTTATCTTATTAAGTATGTCTTCCATCTTGAGGTACTTTATGATTTCACTCAATATGTAACTACAGTGTGGGAGAAAATTAAAGTTATAGCCCAGCCGGGTGTGGCTCAGCGGTTGAGCATCGAACTAGGATCCAGGCGATTGGGGTTCGATTCCCGGTCAGGGCACATGCCCGGGTTGCGGGCTCAATCCCCAATGACTCTCTCACCATTGATGTTTCTGTCTGTCTGTCTCTCCCCTTTCCTCTCTCTGAGATCAATAAAGATAGATTTAAAAAAAAAAAGAAAATTAAAGTTATATATGATAAATATTTAACTCAGGAACTTTGGAAGTGAATCATTCAGTAATACCGATAATACAATTCTGTCATTTTTCTAGTATTTATATTCAGGGTTTTTGTTTTTTTCCTCTGTTTTGGGTGTTGCTTCTAAAACATTGGCAGATAATGAAATTGTTTCTTATGAGTGTCTGTTAAGCATTGAGTATGCTCGATATATTTTTGTCGTGTTAAAGATTCATTCGTTTAAACCATTTTTATGCTTTTTCTTATAATTGGGAATGGATACATAATTCAAATAGCCTTGACTGTTGTTAGCTTTTTTTATTAGTCCACATTTTTGTTTAATTTGGCTGTCTGTGTCTTCCTGTATAAGCCTGGCTTAGTTTGCTTTCTTTACCCAGTACTGTACCTTACCAACTCTCGCCAATCTCTGAACTGACAGGAGTATGCGACCAGTGGTTGGAACCTGAATGTGATGCCAGTGCTGGATCAATCTGTTCTCTGTCACATCAATGCAGACATCTCTGGCATGAAGGTTCCCTGGCTATATGTGGGCATGGTTTTCTCAGCATTTTGTTGGCATATTGAGGATCACTGGAGTTACTCCATTAACTACCTACACTGGTGAGCAGGGCCCAAATGGCTGGAATAGATATCAAGACTCCCTTCATATGCAAAGATACTTCCAGACTCTATATGTCTCCTCTTTACCTGAGCAGGGGTGAGCCAAAGACCTGGTATGGGGTGCCCTCACTGGCAGCAGAGCATTTGGAGGAGGTGATGAAGAGGCTGACACCGGAGCTTTTTGACAGCCAGCCTGACCTTCTACACCAACTGGTTACTCTGATGAATCCTAACACCCTTATGTCCCATGGTGTTCCTGTGAGTACCTGGAAATAACGGGCAAAAGGAATTTAATTCTGCTCAAGGATGGGGAGGGAATGAGAACTTAGTTTTGCAGAAATAAATTTACATGCATTTTGATGTGGAGACTAGGTGATCATATCTCTCTGTTTATTGCTGTCTGGATGCTAATCTAAACAGATCAGTAGAGTATCCTAAGGAGGAAGAGAAAGGAGAGATCAGATGATTATTTAATAACAAAGTTGAAACCTGGATTTGTGTTTTAATGTCTCCTTGCCTAGTATTAGTCTTCTGTTAATATTGCAGGGTTTAAATTCTAATTTCATAAAGTCATGGAGGTCTGGGAATGGTTTCTGACTAGGGAATTTCCAGGATTGATTTATATCAGCAAGTTTTGCAAAAGAGTGAATAAGACCTAATGTGCAACACACTATGCAACATACTACACTTTTTCTTTTATAAGGTCTGGGTTAACCTCTACATAACTTTTTATCACTTTTATGCCCATTTCCCTTACATTTTCCATCTGTGCAAAATGGGCTTAGCATCTACAAGGCTTCCTTTTGTTTCTGAAATTTTATCAGTTTTTATTTGCACTTTTCAACTTTTTTCGTTGACATCATTATCTCAAAAAACAAGCTTGAATAGTGATGAAAATGAAATCACATAGGTACCTAGTTAACCATTTGTCTTGCCTCATGATTTTTGCTTACTAATTTTTTTCCTCCGATTTGTACTCAACACACTCCCACAGCTGTTCAGGACTAGGATTTGTGTATTTTGTCTAGACTTAATTTAATTTGGTGTTACTCTTTTACCCATTTTACCTCTCTAAGATTAATAATATCCCCACTTTTATTTCTTATCTTAATAATTTGAGTTTTCTCTCTTTTGTCATTGTTTTGCTAAATGCTTATCAGTTTTTGTTAATTATTACAAGGAGCTAGCTTTTGATTTTGTTGATTGTTTTTCTATTGTATGTTTCAGTTATCTTCATGAATTGACCCTTTTATCAGTACATAATGCCCTTTTTTAATCTCGTAACAGTGTTTACTTAAAGTCATTGACTAATTGGCCCAGCTGGGTTAACTTAGTTGGTTAGAGTGTCTCCTTGATATGCCAAGGTGTGGGTTCAATCCCCAGTCAGGGCACATGAATGCATAAATAAGTGGAACAACAAATTAAGTTTAATTTTGACATTAATATAACTTTCAGTAAGGAAGAACTTCCTCCACTTTGTTTTCTGCGTGTTATATTTTTTTGTCCCTTAGTTCTTCCATTACTTTTTTCTTTGTGATGAATTGGTTTATTCTAGTGGTCTTGTTTAATGTCTCTCTTTACTGTATATTTTTGTTATTTTCTTAGTTACCATCATGTTACACTTAGTATTTTTAATTTATAGCAATCCAGTTTGAATTAATACCAACTTACCTTTAATAGTAAGTTTCAAAAATAAGTGTTCCTATTTAGTTCAATCCCTCTTTATATTATTGTCACAATTACATCTTTCCACATTGCTTGTGTAACGTCATAATTTCATAATTATTATTTCATGCATTTTTCAATTATAAAGAAAATAAGAGGAGTAATAAAAAGTTCAATTCTGGTTTTTATATTTGCCTATATAGGTACCTTTAACTAGTGTTTTCACTTCCTTTGTGATGTGTCTAGTTATCCCCTAGTGCAGGGGTGGGGAACCTTTTTTCTGCCAAGTTGCATTTGGATATTTATAACATCATTTGTGGGCCATACAAAATTACTAACTTAAAAATTAACTATGAGAAGAGCTCCTAGGTTTATTGAATTTTGAGTCCCACCTGTGGTTGCCTTGGCAGGGCCAGACAGTACGGCCTGTGGGCCTTACGTTCCCAATCCTTGCTCTAGTGTCATTTGTAGTACTAAAGGACTTTGTAAAGTATTTTCTTAAATTGATTTGAGAGAGAGAGGGAGCAAGGGAAAGAGAGAGAGAAGAGAGAAACATCGATGTGCTGTTCTACTTATTCATGCATTTTTTGGTTGATTCCTCTAATGAGCCATGACCAGAGATCCAACCTGCTACCTTGGCATATTGGGACCATGCCCTAATCAACTTAGCTACCTGTCCAGAGCAGTTACAATATTTTATCCCTAGGGATGTCTTCATTTTCCCTTAATATTTTTTCTTTCATCACTTGAAATGTGTTATCCCATGCCTTCTGCCATCCCTAATTTCTGGTGAAAAATCTTATATATGATGAAGTGCTTTTTTTTTTTTTTTTTTTTTTTTTTTTTTCTTTATTTTTTTTTTTTTTTT